CTATTTCATTTAATAAATGTTTTGTTTTGATATATAAGTTGTTCTGGTATTTCATCTAAAAAAAAAGTGACATTAATTTCTTGACGACCAAATATTTCCATTATTGTATATGCATCAAATTCCCAGTATGACAATGAAATAATTTTCTATCATGGGGTTGATATTTGGCAAATATTAAAGCAACAAAAACAATCAATGCATATATACCTAAATATTGACATTATTCAAACATCATTTGTAAATATTGAGGGTGTTCCCTCAACAATTTCTTGGTGTAAAACATTGAATGTATACTTTCTCACAGAACCATAAATATAAAACACATAATTATTGTAACAAATGATTGAGAAGAAGCGTATGGATAGGATATGCAAAATCGTGAGGATGTGAGAACTTCAAAGTTTGACTAGTAGGTCAGAATACATCCAATTTGGTTTAAGCATGTATGTTGTTTCTTAGTTCCTGATGCTGCATTTAACATCATCAAGTGATTGTTGTTTACATGCATTAAGAAAAAAAATAACCTGGTGTAAGTCTATGAAATAGGCCCATTTTCAGATTTAAAGTAAATAAATGTTGGCTGAAAAAGTTATGAGGCTTAAGAGTCATTTGTTGGAAGATCTCTATTTGATGATTATGTATTTGAATGAGGGCACGTTACTCACATTTTCCAAAGATCATCAGAGACATATGTTATCAGCTTCTTCTGTACAGTAGACATTTTAGTTTTCTATGCTGATGTCACCAACTTTGGATGTGCATTTACATCCTTGTAATGTCCAAGAGAACACAATGTGATATGTTAAGTACTCAATACTTATTTGAAACTTGTCTGTTGACAAATGAATATGCATGTTCAATAGTTTTGTTTGAATAATGTATTTTCCATCTGAATGTGTGAAATATACATGTTTAGACCTCTTTAATTTTTTTATTTTCTAACTGAAAGTTTTTCATTGAATCTTGTAAGTTAGATGGTTTTATTACAAAGATTATGTTTAACTGTGCCATTCTATAAATGTGTGAGAATGTTATTAAACCACTGTCAAAGTGTCTTACTTTTTATTATATTTCCAAACAGGGACTGATGCTTAGTTGGTCGATTAGTTACCAAGTTAAAACTGTCATGAACCTCCATGTCACACTGGCAAAACCCATGACCAAAACTTCAGTCCTAGCTCTCTGTCGTATGATTGAAATGTTGAAAGTAAGTAGGCTACATATTGTTGTTTGTTTTTACTTAGAAAAATATACGATATGTTCTTCAATTATCAATTTTAAATTATAACTCATCATTAGATTATAGTAATAGGTCATATATGTATTGAACTAAAGCTTGTTTTTAGCAAAACAAATAATAAATGAGTGCAACTACAGCATGATAAAAATCTGAAAATTGAAATATTTGGTAAAAAAATACCATAACCCTGTTGCTACGGGTCACGGATCAAAGGCCATGTCATCATGTTTGTTGACTTGCATCCAAAATTTTATTTTATTAATTTCTTAATTCAAAAGTATATATTAAAAAAACACTTAAACATCGATTTCTTTTGTGTGTCATGTGGTATGTTGAATGCAGCACTGGTTAAAATTAGATGTTTGTGATGCCAAAATACAAAAGCTATAGTTTTTGTATGAATTAGGAACTCAAGTTATCAATAGTAACAAGCTAGAATATAAAATAAAAACCTCCTATCTTTTCTATTTGCCACCTATTTCCATTTTTGAAAACTGTCCCATATATACACTTACTTGTGTATATGACAGCTCAGAATGTCCCCTAAATGGCTTTCTCAGTGTTAGGAGACCATCTCATTCTTTCAAAACAAGATTTCAAAGAGGTAGGTTGTGTCTTTAGTCTGCTCAAAATTTCATATATTTTTTTGGACCGAAATACAGCTTA